CACACACACACACACACACACACACACACACACACACACACACACCAGGAATCAATGTAACAATGATTTTAGGAGCACTCGTACACAATTTTTATTATAAAATACAGAATTACCACTATTTTTCTACTTTGATGAGTTTGAAGCAGTACAGGCAGCTCAACTTTAAAGGGTTGTTCCTGTGATCATCAGCTAGAGGGCAGACTAAGTGAATGAATGTGCTTAGTGGTGTTTTAGCTCTCCAAACCACATGGATAAAAAAGTCCTTAAATCATTAACATAAATAGAAAATGACATATGAAAGCTAACAAAGAAACATATAAGCTCAAGCGTTTCTTTATTGTCCCAAACATAGATTACCTTAATTAAAAACAAAACTTTTTATGAGCTAAAAAAAAATTATTCATGTTCAAGTAGGAAAAAAAGAGACAAAACCGATTTTTTCTTTTATTATCGATAAAACATAATCTCTATTGCCTCTTCCACCATCCACTAGCAAACAATCAGTACATAGTTTCCACCAACACTGTTTTATTTTTCTCCAAAAGTTTGGTTCATAAATCTTGGAATCGTTTCAAACATGCACAGCATACTGCTGTGATTTTTTTTTACCTCACCAAGTTCCACAAGTAATGCCTGTGGGTGGAAAATATTTAATAAGTTGAGGGTTTATTGCACCCTTTCAAATAAAATCAATGTTTCTGTGGAGCATTTTTTTTCTTTCTGCCTTCCCATTCAGTCCCACACAGATACGCTGCTGCACCTCTAATTCAAAGAGAAATGCAGGAAAGTTAAATACTCTTCATCCAGACTTCGTTGACGATGGAATAGTTTGGAAACGCTTTTCCTAGTGGCGGATTTTGACAATGTCTTTCAGCTGCCTGGTAAATGAAGCGTGCAGAGCCTGTGATGACCTTTCCAACCTGCTGGCGATGTCCGCTGCAGCGCGAAGCATGTCTTTAAAGACCAAGGACTCTTCTCTTATTCTGCTCCAGAACACAAACAGTCCAGTTAGAGGGGAAGATATTGAAGAGAAAGCACCAGATATGGAAAAAAAAAAAGATAAAAGCAACAAGGAGAGTGAGTAAATGGAGGCCTGGTAACAAAAAATACATAAGTTGTAATGAATGTAATCACATTATACTGAGCAAGTGAATGCTGATTTGTTTGTTCTTACTGGGCAATTATTCTCATCAAAGATTTGTCTATTTTGTTACAAAATTCTCTGATCATCACCCTGTTTTTGTGTCTGCCTGTGTCTGTTGTTGGTAGCTACCTAAACCTCTGGACAGACTTTAACGATGCCCATAAAATAATCATTGGATGTACATCTACAGCTGATTAACTTTTGGAGTCAACTCAATTCAAGATAATCACCACGGCTAATTGACCTTAGAGAAACCATCGCTACAAATCATCTCAGTCAATTTTATAAATATAAAAGTTGTCATCATTTGAATCATATGACAAGATAGAAGGATAAGGTTCAAATACGTTTTGCTTGATTCACACAGCAAGACAGGCCGATTTTTGGCCCAATTTTGCCCTTCTAACAATCTGAAGGATGCCCATAGACTTAAATAAGAACACTAGACTGAGCCCCACCCATCCTGTCCACTGTTAGCGTCTGTGACAGCATGGAGGAGCAGAAACAGACCAAACAGGACAACAGCTCACAGCCTCCACAGAAACTAATAGATAAACAGCAAACTGAACTGGATCTGTTTCACAAATTATCTGTAATATTTTTACAATAAATTAATAATTATGTTAATTTCATTCAAACAATCATGTAAAACAACAGATTTATACCAGAAAAATATATCACTTATAAGTAGCAATGATCTAAACCAGACCTGAAGTCAGCCTGTAACTCCTAGACTTTTTTGCTTTTTGAAAAATGATGACTTCAGCTAGTAATAAAGTATATTTATTATTTATTCTTACTGTCATAAAAATAAGAATAATAAATATTTACTAGTCAATACTAAAAATGTTCTCTGTATACCTGGTTATGGGATGAAACTTGTCTCTATTAGCTAACCATCTTCTCAACAGGTCAGGTTCTTCTAACAGAAACCTAAAAATACTCACATTTTTAATATTATTTTACACTCTGTAGGTCTAACTATCAATCCAAGGACAAAATCTTTGAACCCATAGTTAGGCTCAACAATAGGGCCTACAAAATTCATACAAAAACTTCCTGGTTGGACTCATCACTGTACAGTTCTTTCATTGTCTGATGCCTTGACTTTTCAGAATTATGTTTTGTATAGTGGTATTAATTTATATTTTCAGATCTTCCAAGGTGCCAATTATGGAACTCTGTGCATTGTTGCCCAAATCAGATTCTGGAAGTGGTCATTCAAATAGATCTGTTACAAAAGGACAACTTATATTGTCAACTTTTAAAATCTGTTATGGCCAGAGGTCTTTCTTCTATGTTTATACTAAAGCATGGRATGACATTCCTCAAAACATAAAGTCCATTTCAAAACCACAGCCCTTTAAGAAGTCTTATTTTGCAAATGCTGCCTTTTTGAAATTTGGTATGCTTGTTTGTCTTTGTGTCTGTGGTGTAATAATAATGATGTGATTGTGATGCTGTAATTCTGAGTGTTTTATGTGCTGCAGAACAGGAACCTGCTGTAAAACAGCAATTATGCTGAGTCAGGCTTGATTTTTAATTATCTTTTCCTGTTAAATAAATAAATCAAATCAAAATAATATTTAATAGTTTGGGTTTAATTGTAGCACGATTCAACAGTGCTAAACTCTGTATATATGCTCCACAAGCTAATATCTGCTAACCAGTTCAAAAAATAACAGTGATCACATCAACTTTATGAGATTATTTTAATTTTAAACTGTTACATTATGTTCTGCTCAGATCACATTGAGCTAAAAAAGTTCAAATCTGCTGACTTGTAAAATGAGACTTTTCCTGTTTATCTTCGGTTAATAAATCTATACCACAAACAGCTTTTCTGACATTATTTAAAACATTAAATAGATTATATAAACTGCAAAATACAGTATTAATAATAATTGGGTTAATATTATTATTAATAGTTTTAATGATTTCTATATCGTCAGTCCTTTTTTCTGCTCTGTTGTCAACATGTACAGTAATGGGAAATCCAGACACTTGACCGTTATGCGTTAGCCGTTAGCTTCACCAGCCAATCACATGGTCACCTGGTTTCTGAGCTCCAGCTGTTCTATATTTCTCCATGAGGACACCCCAATTATTGTGATAGTTCTAAAGAGGATCTTTGGGATATTCCTGACATGTGTGGTGTGTTTAGAGTGATCTAGTCGGCTCAGAAGGGTGTCAGGACTGCTCCGATCTCTAATCTGTGATATTCAACATGTTGGATTGTCTTGGCCCGATATCCCAGGGTGTGTGGTGTTCCTACCAAATCTGTTATATCTCCGATTTTTTTATGGTCATGTGTGGTTTTAAAAAGGTTTTCAAAATCTTACCGTGAGAACCAGATATTATTAAACTGAAGATGAAGATTAAAAACATATTCTAGTCTGTTTTAAAAGTTTAACTGCACTCACTTCTGCATCCCTGTAAAATCCCCCTTGCCGTCTCCCTCCAGCTGCTTTTTCAAATCGTCTTCAGCTTTCTCCACCATCTCAATGCAGCCTTTCTGGTCCTCTTGGATCCCAATGATATTACTCTTGATCACGTCTTGGTAACTCTGATCCCCCAGCTCCGCCCCTATGAACTGCTCTAAATTCTCTACCACGGCCTTGTTCCCACGCTGTACGGCCTTCAGGTGGGCCAGCTCTTCTTTCTCTACCTTCATCCTCCGAGCCGAAGCAGCGGAGTTGGTGCCGAAGTGGACTGAGCACTCGTCTGGTTGGAGGTCGTACCGGAGCGAGGGGGATGGTGATGGAGAGAAACCCATGGTTACCGTTAGGGGACGGTTGTCCTTCACCCTCCCAGGCTCATCACCAAAGGCCTGCGCTGTGCTGTTGGTGTCCACTGTGGCAGAGAGCATAAAGCCCGAACCCCACTCGTCATCTCCACTTTGGCAAAAAATTGAAGTTGCCATCGATGCCCAAGCCAAGATGAAGTTCATCCAACATTTACTCATGGTAACCTGAAGAGACAAAGGTGAATTACTGTGAACTTTGCAGGGGATACAAACCAAAGCAGCCCCCCTTCCCCATCAAGTCCATTTTGGCTGGTCCTACATCAGGTCTGTTTTTGTCTGTTGATGGAAAAACAAGTCGTAAAGGGATCCCTGATTAGTTGTAACATTAGACTTTACTTGATAAACATATATATTTAACTGTAACATAAAGACTGTAGAAATACTGTAGGCTGTTTAGTTTAGTAAATTTTTAAAAATATATTTTAACATGGACGGAACCCTTTTATTTACACACAAAGCATTCTGGGTAAATGATGACATGGATGGGTGCAAGGCTGCTAGCGAGCTATGTCCACCCTGAATGTTAATCTTGGACAATATCTGACGATTGACTCTTTTAAATGAAACCAGAGAGCGTTGACAGAGAGGAGAAGGTAGAAATGACTCAACCTGGAACTGAAAATATGGATGGAGGACAACAGAGCTGCTTCATGGAAGAAGAACCTCAGCTTAGCCTGTTAGCTTTAGCGTTAGCCCTGACGCTATATTGCCTTACATATATTAGCTCGGCACTAGCGCGACAAACTAACAAGCTAAACTGAGGTCCTCCATCCATACTTTCAGTTGCAGGCTGAGTCATTTTTGTGTTCTCCTCTCTGTCATGTGGATGGAGGACCTCAGTGACGAGAGGAGAATGTGTAGCGCTGAGCTAATACATATATATGGTGATAGCGTCGGGGCTAATGC